AACTTTTTTAACACATTTAAGCACAAGTTCTACAAACCATAGAATGGAAACATCGCAGGGTATAAACGAGAGTTTTTTGTCACCATTTCTCATTCCCATATGATTCTTTTTTTGATACAGTCGAGAGAATAATTAACTATATTATATTATTTTTTTTGCATATGAGAATGATCTAAAACACCATAAACGCCCAAATAAGCAAAATGAGTCTAAATTACCCGCATTCAGTGTTGATCTCCACATCTACACCACACTGTGATATGGTCAAATACAATAACAATGACAGCAAAAGCAGTGCTCAATGGACGCGTCACTCAGATTGAGTTTCAAAATTTTCAATGGCAACCAAATCACTCAGAAACATTGTTTGCTTGTAGAAAAGGCTTCGTTAATGCATTTAGAGGATCAAAATCATAAAAGAGCCACCCAATTGATCCAATGAATTATAATCAAGAGAACTAACAACGTTGCTCGAATCGGGCTTGAGAGACCTTGATCGCCATTGACATGAATTAAATATTGTTCGTTCACAAAACAAACCATGCCATCAGCACAGAACAGAAAAAAAAACCCAAATTACATGAGTTCCCGCACTAGTCATTTAGTTCAACATTGCCTATGGGTGCAATCAATGTCATTTAGTTCAACACCTTGATCGCCATTGACATGAATTAAATATTGTTCATTCACAAAACAAACCATGCCATCAGCACAGAACATAAAAAAAAAACCCAAATTACATGAGTTCCCGCAATAAAAAAAAACCCATAGTCATTTAGTTCAACAATGCCTATGGGTGCAATCAATGTCATTTAGTTCAACATGAGTGAATAATGAAATTAAAATAATATAAATAATAATAATAATAATAATAATAACAACAAAAATAATTAAATAATTATTACTCAAGTTAAAATGAACCCAAAATTAAATCAAATTTAAAATTTTGTTAATCACTATTGGCCCACAGTATAATTAAATTTGATAAAATAAAAGAAATCCTAAAACAATCCTACGCCACTTCTCCCATCACTCCCCAGTGACACAAGCAATTCTCCCTATCTTCTCACATATCCTCACTCCGCTCTTCAGATTCCCTCTCCCATTCCCTAAGCATTCCCACTCCAAATTCATAAACGCATGCATAGAACTCGCGTCCCTCATAAAGCCGCCCATCTTTTCATTCTCTTTCACTATAGTGATGCAAGAAAATCAGCTTCCCATCTCTCTTCTTCATCTCCTATTCACAAGCCTCCCGCACGCGCCACTAGCTGTTCCCTTGCTCAATGTCACCTCATGAGTAATTACAAACCACTCTACAACCTGCAACTACTACACTCATCCCACACTAGGGCGTGCTTCCCTGTTTTTGACTTGACTATGCTGCTCACACCCCTCATTAGTCCCAGCTCAACAGATCTCCCCTTCACCTCTACCCCTAACCAAATCCCTCTCACACACCGCCCGCAATTCCCCAGCCCATCCTTGCACAAACCTAGGCTGAATATGATTCACAATCTCGAGTCAAGCACAGCACACAACTCCCTTTCTTTCCTATTCAACTCACTTCATGAAACTGCCAGCTGCTGCTTCTCTCTACACCACCCTTTCAACCTCCACAGTTATCTTTAGAGAGAGAAAGCTCATTGTCCCTCCCCATCTTCTAACTTCCCCTCTATAACTATGATGTTCCTAAGCTGTGTTTCTCGCTCTCCTTTCTCTCTCTAAAATAGGGATGAAATCTTAATTCCTCTACAAATAGACAGTATACTCTCTCTCTCTCTTCCATTCCCTTTCCAAATCTCCATCTGTTTACATATATATATATATAATAAAAATTAGTAGTATATATAAAAAAACAGACAGCAAATATAAAAAGATAAAAAGAGGGGAGAGAGAAAAAATTTTCTTTTAATTTTGCGTAGGTCTTCCCTAACATCATCTCAATTGCGGCAGGATTAATGTGACAAGCACAACACCTACACGTTTCTTTTAGTATGACAAGGAAAAACTCCTAGGCGATGCTCCTCACACAAGTAAGACCTGTACATTATTTTCATAGCACCAGAAATATATGTGTGTGTGTGTGTGTGCGTGTGTAAAAGGTTGGTCTTTGGTTTAGTATTAATTTGTCTCCTACTCGAAATCTACTAGGTACCATTCTGGTTTGTAACCCAGATCGGAAAAATAAAAACAAGGAGCTGCTAAAAACAGCTTTTTTTCGGGCATAAAGTATTTCCAATCAATGGGGCTGGCGATTTTGGTTGGGGGGAGGATACTGAAACTCCCGGTTTTGGTGAGATGGCGGCCTCCTCCCACAGGGTGGATAAAGTTTAACACCGATAGGAGCTGGAAATCTTGCAATGTTGGCTGTGGGGGCATTACTAGGAATAATGTTGGGGACTGTATTATTTTCTTCTATTCTCCCTGTTTCTCTAATTCTCCTATTGAAGCGAAGGCTAGGGCCATGTTGATGGTTGTCATGATAGTTGCTTCTCTCAGTTGTCAGTTTATTATCATTGAACGTGATTCCCGCATTTTGATTGATATTATTGCTAATGGGGTTGATGCGTCGTGGGATATTCTCTATTATATTAAGAGGATTAAACTCATATCCTCTCATATTTCTGTTATTTGGAGATTTCATCATGAGGGGAATAGACCCGCTAATTGGCTCGCAGTTGTTGGTAGTACAAGTCACAATTGTTGGGTAGGCTTCGTACCCCCTCCCCCTTTACACACTTTGGTTGTTGGGGACAAAGTAGATGCTCCTTATGTCCGTCATGATTGCCCCTGCTAGCCTGCTTGTTTGGTGTCCCCTGTTTTTTGTTTATGTTTCAATTATGTCTTGTGCCTTTATTGGCACATTACTCTGGTTGATTTATAGTTTTTTTTCCATGGCACAGAAGGCTCCTTTCTCATTCTTACTGCATGTACTTCCAGTTTATTTGGCTAGTTTGGATCCATCTGTAGGTGTTGATTCCTTATTTCGGTGGTTGGAGTTTAGGGTGTCCCTCGGGTTCCTCTCAAGAGGTTTTTATTATGCTAGGCATTTCGAGAATTCATATATGTGTGTATCCATTTGTGGAATGCTAGATTTTGATTCCTCTGGACATTAATGTGACTGGGTCTTTTGCTTGGTTGAACATTTCCATTATGGCCTGCACGAAGAATGCCTCCTTTGCTCGAAGACCTGCTACACTACTGGGACAGGATTGGCTAGAACTTCTGTTACCTTCTTCTCTTCGTCTGCTACAGTGCCTATTACTGCTCTTTGCTACACATCTATTTGATTGGAGATTTGTGGGTATACGATCTTTTTTTCATTTTGGGTATACCATTTGTTTGATTTTTTGGGTTCCAGAGGTTTTGTAGGTGGTTGAGGCTTCGACTGCTACACTGCCTATTATTGCTCTTTGCTACACATCTATTTGATTGGAGATTTTTGGGTATACCATTTGTTTGCTTTTTTGGGTTCCAGAGGTTTTGTAGGTGGTTGAGGACCCCCTTTATGTGTGAGTAATGTATTTTTTGGATTTTTAGTTCGGGGGACCTCACCTCAACGACTTTTGTACTCACCTTTTTATTTAACACGTAGGGAGCCGAATCATGCTCCTTTCCCAATATATATATATATATATGATTGTACATGGATATATATATAATTACCTGACCTCCTTTGTTCCAGTGTGACATGAAAATTTGTGCAAATTTCAAACAGAAAAATCATATATATTTTTCTTAGCATGATGAGGATGAAGACCAAGCCATGATTTTATACTACCCAAACAAGCTTTTTTTAGCACGGTGGGCAGTCCCAATTTTCCAAATGTAGCCTTGAGCAAAATCAAGGTGTAGGGTGGAATCAACAAACAGCCCCGTTATTTATACGAGTGAGATGAGATTCCTTATGAGGCCCACCTCATTAAACTCCAAAACATATAAAGAAATAAAAAATGCCAACTCACTAGAGTAAAAGCATGTAGAGATGAAAATAGTCACTCTACAATGTATCCAATTAATTTCAATTCATTTTTTGTGACTGGATCAACAATATAATTGCAAGCAGAAATAAGGCAATTTATAAGGCAATTTTAAGAGTCCTAACATGAAATATTTAAGGGCAACCTAATGCTAAAGCTTGCGTTAGCATTTAAAATTTTGGACGCCTGCATATGCAGAATTAATCAATAAACTGATCTTAAGCTCCTGTGGGAATAGAATGTAAATCATGCTGTAGAAATTGAATAGAAGTAAACAGATAATCAAGAATGACAAAAAATAAAAGTACACATACATCCAATGTGGAAGAGAATCACGTAATCGTTCAAAACTGTGTCCAATAACCAGTTAAAAGGCATCAATCACATCACAAAGCCATTTCTTTCAATTAATGAATTCATTTAGGAAATATACAAAAAAATCACTAACAACTAAGTTGAGTTTGGCAGTAAAGGAATCACTAAAACCAAATGCATCTAAAATAGAATAACTAAACGACATGAGATAAATCTGCAAAATAATGAGCGAGAAAATATAGAAGATAAGGTAGAATAATGTTGTCCAGATATAAACAACAAAGAGAACAAATGCATCCATATGGCGAGATGATAGAATTAAGGTGAAGGAATAAAAAGGATAATATGATTTCAAAGATAACATAAATCGAGCACTCAATAGCAATGAATGAAGAAGAAAATATCATTAAGCTAGTACAAAATGCTAAAGAAGGCTAATGATCATGATCAATTGAGATATATGCAAAAATATAACTGCTAATCCTAAGTCCATATGTGAAAGATTGAGGATTAAACATAAGTCGACAATGAAATGCATATGCGACATGGAAGATAAATGTTTAGATCCCATAAACTCGATTTTATTATTAACATGATTTTGTAGGTACAATTCCACATGGAATTTACAAGGAATGGACATAACTAAAAACAGAGACAACTAACATAATGAATCATTGACCAATCATAAGTGAGGACCTTTACCTTCTCATAGCTTTTATATTTTCGGACGAGCGCATGAGCCCTTTTCAGTCCCATACCAGGCAGAGATGGCAGATAATCACAACCACTAAAAATACACATTTCAAGTATCATCTGTTTAGTGAACCCGGTAAGATCAAGATCTCTATTCTGCTCAAACAATGAGCTCCGAAATTCAACACCCTGACCAAACTTGTCCATTTTAAAGATGATCTGAAAGACATTATTTTACAATTGAACATTTCATTAAATGGCCCACTACACAGAAAAAAGACTAAATTGGCAGAAATTAAACTAAAAAATGTTACAAGGTTGGTAAGAAATACACAAATTGAAGACTCAAAGAAGTGGAAAAGAAACAACACACTCTCGAGCAACCAAATGGTATCAGATCAGAGTCCTCAGTAATGACAGCATCAACATGATTGTACATGGATAAAAATGTCATTTGAGCATCAGCTTCATACGGCGCAACAACAAAATCAACATTTTCCTGCTTTAGCACCTGTAACGCATGCTCATGTTATTTGTAAAATAGGCTTTTGCATGAAGGGGCGAGCTATTTGTGATATTTAGTTAATAAATATTTTATCAGCACACAATATAACAAAAAGAACAGCAATCATGTGCATAATCCATATGGCAAATTTGCCCTACCTGAATCAGCTCAAAAGCAATAGAAGGTGATATATCCACTGCTTTTTGGTAACAATCAAAGGCAGCACTAGAGTTACCAGCAGCTTCATGTTCCAAAGCACGTTCAAGGTTCTCTTTCCTTTTCCTAGGATGTCAAATAAGCATTCGACATGAATGTATTGTTTTCAATAAGCAAACATAATAAAGGATCTTAAATAAAACCAAATAAATCCAAGCATTCTCTAATTTTAAGTAAATGAATACAATTAGACATTAAACACAATTAGCAGCTAAAAAAAGTGCAGTGACAAAACCAATAGCCCAATATAATACGTAAATATCATTTGTAATTGTTCATGGCCTGACTTTAAACAAGAAAACATGAGTGAATTACAGAAATGGGCAGTCATCTCCTTCACTGACTTGATGCCTATCAACTCTAGGATGACATGAACATGGATAACATCCAGATCATTCGGTAAAAAAAATGAGGATTAGTTGGACGGCACTCAGCCTCTACATGCCATCCTCTAGAATCCCCAAAAAGTGCCTCTCATTAACCTTAGCTAAAATCACTGTTCCAACACCTTGGTGGCATCAATATCATGATCCTTAGCCACACTCGCTGTGCAACACCTTGAAACCACCAAGATAAGGATGAAGCTAAAGTTTGTGCCCAATTACACCATCTTCAAAAGATAGGCATCCTCCACCTCCTAATATCTTCACTAGCAGCATTAAGATCCAACAGCGTTAATATCTTCACTAGCAGCATTAATATCTTCACTAGTATTTGTAGTAATAGCCAGAAGGGTTGGAATTTTTCAGCAAGAAGGGATATGGGAGGGTTTACTATTTTCATTCTCAACTGACTGGGTCCAAACCTCATGAAAGGACCAATAGAAACTTGGATTGACCAAGCTTAAAACAGCTAATTATATCCAAATCTAATCATAGTAGTTCAATCTCTCAAACAAAAATGCTTATCGTCAAGCACAAATCATAGATTTTTTTATATTAACTGAGGCAGAAATGCCTTCATATGTTCAAAGGCACATCAATCATGGGTACTTTTTTCTTCCTTGAATTATCAAGATATCTTGTGCACACAATCACTGATATTATTATAAAACCCAAAGAAACGTCAAGAATATATCAGTCATGACTATAATTTAACTATGTCAATTTATGGAAAACCAATCGATCAAAGAGCATATGTCAAATCCTTACTAGCATGAGATCTTTAGGAGTGATCATAAAGGCATGCTATATAAAATATTAACTCTTTCTGAGTTGAAGTTATATTAATTTGTTATCCCTAACAAATTAGAGTGAATGATGGATAACTAATAGCTTTACGGTTTAAAAAACAAATTTCACTTAAATAGTATTTATCTTGTAAATTTTTTTTCAAATTTTTGCATTTTGGGTGATAATTTGGTCCCAAGTAGTTTGCTTCAAAATTTAAAAAAAATGATAAAAAGATTCCCTCCGATTGAGGTTTTCCATCAACACAATCATTATTAAAAACTTGAATGATTTAATAATGTTATTTTAAATTTTGTTAACTCTGATTGCTTGCTTGCAAAGAGGATTGAGTTTGTGATTTGCATATGGTTGTCCACTTTGAACATTCCTTGAAAATCTTGTAAAAATTAGCCTCATGCGTAGAGGATTGGCCCACAAGTTGAATTCCTAATTTTATTTTATAACTATGTTGAGGCCAAGATTTTTTTTACATAAGTTTCATTTAAAAAAGGTTATTGAAATTTTATGTAAATATAAGGAAAAAAATAATTTGAAGGGCGTGGCGCTCACAACTAAGAGTTTGATTCCTTATGTATAGTGATACTTAACTTCCTCAATTCAATTGGGTGATGAAAAGTTAATTATACTCTTATTGAGTAAAGGTATGTCACAAGGTTCAAATTCTATCCACTCCAATCTTTTGGACATGCAGAGTTGAATTTGAAATGTGACACTTACAACTATGTAATATCAATGAGAAAGACCACACAAAGGCATACATAAAAATTGAATTTGATATTGAAATTAATCGTTTATATGGTTTCAAATTAACCACACAATTTTATAGTGAGAAAAAGATAAATTTATCTTATTTTTAGTCCCAAAATATTCTATGATTTCAAGCGATTAACAAGCTTATTGAAGTGCAAGTGAGTGAATTTATTTTTTAATTAATCAACATGTCATGCACACCTTTTTTAAAAAAATACATCGACATGCAATTCTGCATAAATTGGACTTACTTGAAAATCATTCACATAAAGGCACGCCCATTTGAGATGTGTGGAGGGGCCTCTTGTTGTAGTCTTTTATGTTAGTTTCTTTTCATTAAAGTATTCATGTAATTCTCATTTTGAGTTCATTAACGCTTGCATTATGTCCTCTTGCATATATTGATTTATGAATTTGACAGTAATTTTCAAGAGTAAGAGTCCATTATGTGTTTTCAAAGTCACACAATTTGATTGTGTATAAGTTGTATTTTATTGAGGTAGGTCCCACAAGAAATCATTCTCCACCTATTAATAAAGAGACTCTTAGCTCATTTTCATAATTCATATTCAATCCACAAAATTATTTTATTACGAAGTATTTAGTAGTATTGTAGAGGCTGTGCAAAATTTCTTTTAAACTGTAATTTTCGATCCATCTTGCTTCGATTTCGAGCCAAATCTAGTTGATTTCGAGCTGGAATGAATCTAAAAAACTCAAATTTGGGCCAGCCCGATTCGATTTCTATATCTTCCCACCGAATCTAAACCAATATGCATGGTCGGTGTGTAGGACATCATATAGGCATGGCGGTGAATTAAGCTCGAAGATCATTAATCGCTAAAAAATTAATTTGAATTTTAGCTCGGAATGAGATTGGATCGAAATAAATGAGCCGAGCTATGAGCCAAAACTTTGAATCGAATTTTTTTTAGCTGGTGTTGAGCCATACACAGATCGGCTCAAACTGGCTCGAGATCAGCTCTAAGTAATTTTTATTTATACAAAATCACACATTTCACACCTCGGTTCCCAGTACCGAGCTTTTAGTCCAACATCAGGCATATGAATGTTATCATCGTCATTTAATTGTATAAAATGATGAAATTTTTAAAAACTATGTGGTAATACGCACATAGCAATGACTGTAAACGCAGATGAGACAGCTCAAATTAAAATCAAGCTGAACACAAGCCATGTAAATTTTATTCGAGCCAAACATAAATGTTATTTTTTAGTCATTTCAAACACGAGCCGAATAAGAACAAAAATAAATTGAAATGAAATAGCTCAATTTTGAGCCATCTTGTTTCGATTTCAAGCTAGAACGGATCCAAATAACTCAAATTTGAGCCAGCTTTGTTCGAATTTTAGTCATTTCAAACACGAGCCGAATAAAAACAAAAATAAATTGAAATGAAATAACTCAATTTTAAGCCATCTTGTTTCGATTTCAAGCTAGAACGAATCCAAATAACTCAAATTTGAGCCAGCTTTGTTCGATTTCGAGCGGGATCGAACTCAATTCAATTTTGAGTCGAGCTGGCTCAAAATCGAACATAACGCGTCATGAGCCGATTTCGATCCGAACTCAATCTATTCGAACTGATTTCAACTCGCCCCATCTCGGCTTAAATTGAATCGTTAATAGCAAAATCACCATACATGAGAAAATGTATACAAGTCATTAACATCTACACAGCAAAATGTTCAAGTCGTATTCGAACAAAATGCATGAAGTCATGTTTAAATATCCTGCTGCACTAGAAGAATGCGGACGAACGCTTACATAAATGAACAAGACTTTTGATACCCTTACATAAATGAACTAGACTTTTTATAATATTTTACCTTGCGCGCATAACATGGTGTTGATATCTTGTCGAAGAGAAATAACGAAGAGGTCACACACAATAACGATTCTTTCATCGTTTACCCTCTTTTTTTGAGAGAGAGAGAGAGGTAGCGTCAGTGAGAGAGCAGTAGGGAGGAGCCCATTGGAAACAGAAAAAACAAGTGAGTGAAAAATTAAAGCAAAGGAGAGAGACAGTGACAGTGTCGGAGATGGAGGGACAGTGAGAAAGAGAGAAACTGTAGAGAGAGAAGCGTATGCCAGCATTCAAATGTCGCCAGAGATAGGGAAGAAAAAAAGGAAGGCCTGTGTGGTAGCATAGTCCGAGGAGGACTTAACTTAAATCCCATGTCTCAAGGGCTCCTCTTCTCTTTCATACAAGCCGAGCTCCAGTGGCAGCTTCCTCTTCGTCACGCCCCACTGGATCCATCGACGCCTAGTGCAGCAAGCTCTCTTCGCAGATACCTTGCTCCACCGGACTCCGCTGGATTCATCGATGCCTTCTTCAGCAAGCTCCCGTGCGAGTTCCTCGCTTCTCAGTCGAAGAGAGTTTCGGGTACGTTCGCGGGTGAGCGAGGACCGGAGAGGGAGCCGACAGAACAACAGAGGTTGCGACGTTATGGGTTAAGAAGTGACTAACGGAGTAAATATTCCGTACAGCCGTGCGGACGATCAAGCACACCGCAGGAAAAATATTTGCTTACATAAGATGTAAGTTCATGAGTTATTCAGGGTTATAGGGGAGTTATATCGAGATTATATCTCTATGTAATATTCTGTAATTTTTTTATAAATTAACTGTTACTTATAAATGAATTTCGTGCTTCCGTAATTTCATGAGTACAAATAAATTACACCGATAAGTTCATGAGTTATTCAGGGTTATAGGGGAGTAATATCGAGATTATATCTCTCTGTAATATTCTATAATTTTTTTATAAATTAACTGTTACTTATAAATGAATTTCGCGCTTCCGTAATTTCATGAGTATAAATAAATTACACCGAGATTACAAGGGACTTCTAGACCTTTAAAAGAGGGGCCAACCCATTGAAATAGTTGTCATTTCATAGATTAATTGTAATCAACGGCAACACAAGTTGGAAGATTTGCAAGGAAAACAAAGGGTTAACTAATTAGAAACCGAGTATCTTCCTATCAACTCCATACCCAATACTCATCATGATTTTCTAATAGGAACAACCATAAACGCAATAAATTATTTACTTTCATGTGTAATCATTCCCCATTATGAATGACAATTGAAGGGTATTGCTCTCATGTATCAGCATATTGTTTAGAATTGTGCAATTTGAAGCATGCCTTTTTTTATATTCCGCCATCGGTTACTTCGACTATTGTCGTCGTTGCTTGCTACTCTGCCATCGACACCGTCTTCCTCCACACCTTTTTGCACGAGGTATGCTCTCACACACATAAGACGGTTGTCCCTAAAACCACCACCGTTGCTACCTACTGCTTCCGCTGCCATTATCATAGCATGCTGCTTCTAGCACAACTTTCATATCCACCTATTGTTTTTATCATCATTGTTGTCATCGTCACCACTCCCTTCTCCTCACCAAATAGTCTTCTTTCAAGTAACACAAGATTTAAAATAATTACGACTCAAAACCCGATGTTTTTAATTTCACTTATAATTTGCATTTATTCAAATTATTGAAATTTTGAAACAAAATTTTCATTCTAGGGTATTATAAGAAACAATTAAATGCAAAGAGAAATCTGTAATGAGTCATCAGAAGGATCCATGTATTATTCTAGCATCCCTTAATGAACAAAATTTCTTGGTGATCCTTCTTTTTATTTTCTTTTGCCTTTTTTCATGGAACCCCTCAAGGAGAGTTGGAAGAGTAAGAAATTGATTGATTGAGAAATAATAATAATAATAATAGCATGCATATATTTAAAAAAGAAAATTAATATGAAAGAGTTCATACGAAAAAGATGGACAAAAAGTGATATGGATATAGTAGTGCCAAAGAGTTTGCAAAGTAAAAAATAAAACTACCAATCCGAACGAAAGGACTGAGAAAAGCCCAACCCAAACAAATTGGGATAAATATTTTATTGATGATGATAATCAACCAAATAGGAGGTAGAAGAATGGCATCAACTGCTCATGATGTGTTAGAAAATAGATTGAATGTAAAGTGTAGAGTAGAGGAGTTAAATCAACAAGGGTCATAGAAATATGAAAAATATGGTAGAAATGGGTTAGGTTGCGACTGATATCATTAGAAGTTAATGGAACAAAAGAATTAAAATGAAGAATAGAAAAAATTTCAACGAGCAAAAGGGACAAGTTATACAAATAAATTTGAAATATATACATTAAATCATACTCTTCATTTAACAATATATATCCTAATCAAATAGAGATCAAAATAAACTGTAATCACATGAATAAAAATAAAATACAGCCAGTTTAAGAAATAAATGGATGGAACTGAATACAAACAACATTGAAGAAATTTTAACAAACATAATAAAATACCTTGCCCGCTTAGTTTCTTGGTCAATCTTCATTGGTAAGAGCCCTCCATCAAACACTAGAATAGGTTTGACACCATGATGTTGCAACAATTTAACCCTATGCATGCAATAATTAATATGCCTGCCAGTTCAAAAATAAGAGTTAGATGAAGTTAAAAAATGTAAGAGATTATTTCAACAAGCGACTATAAATCTCTAGACGGAAGAGAAGCTTTCACATCCATAAGAGGGCTACAGACAATTCAGTTTTTGAAAAATATATTCTAAGTTTACTATGCAATAATCTTGGCGTTCATATTTATGCCAAATTTTACTTTGGCTGTAAGTGGCTTCTTTAATGTTCAAAACTCTAATCCATATTACATGGATAATAAAATTGATGGAAGAATAGCTTTTAATAAACCTAAATCAAGAACAACAGTCCTTATAAGACCATGTGTGGTAACTAAATTTTGGGGTTTTTGCTTGGTGCCACTCATCACCTAATCATCTCCTAAACACATTATCTCAAAGATCAAACCATTAATTCACCCTCCATAAGAAGAACCACCCTTCATCCTACCTCCATGCCCAACGTTAACCCTTAAAACCCATTTCCCCACATACTCTTCTCTTCGCATCACCAAATATAATCCTTAGTGAAGACTTTATAACTGTTTGCCCTAATTTCTATAAAAATTCATGCTGATTTCTATGCCAAATCATATCAACTTGGTATCAGAGCTTTTAAATTCTAGGAAATTAACCACTTTATCGTTGTTGTCAAGACTTCTCGTCGTCTTCTACAGCAAGATCGCGGGAAGGGATCGTTGCGTACGGAGCGGCCGCTACTTGGAAGCTAGACAGGATAGAGTCATTGTTGGCGACATTGTAACTAGGAAGGCTCCGACGCGAAGGATCGCGGCTAATCGAGACTCGAAACTCCCGCTTTCTCGCCTTCTTCTTTGTCAGTGGGAGAAATTGTACCCCCAACAAGATTTCTCTTATGCTTAGAATATTTGATGGGAACTGATAGTAGTTGGCTTGTCTTAGTAGGAGAAATTAAGGTTGTAAAATCATCAACTTAGTAACTCCACCATCTAATTTGTCTAACATATGCAAGGTTCTTATGTGATCACTAAAGCTTAAATTTGATTTTGATTTTAATTGTTATTATACCTCGTAAAATGCAAATCAAGGCAAACCTTAATTAATGCAGAAAACCAAAAAGAAATTCCTAATCAATCTAACACATGTAAAGATTTAATGTGATCCACATAATTGAAATTTTATTTGGATTTCAATTGTTATTATGCAACATTAAATGAAAAGCAAAACATTTAACGTGTATAACTAAATAAGGACTCCTTAATCTAGTTTTACATTGGCTTCAAATCATGTGTGGATCAAGCAGGCTTTCCTCGAACAAGTGTTACAATCTTCAAATAATATGTAAAACCATTGTGTATGAAAAATTATTTCATAATCGAGAAGGTTGTCGGGGGAAGCCAGTTTTGTGTTAAAGTTCATTATCTTCTTCATCATTTCTTGCATTTCCTTTATGCTCTCAAACTTGCCCTCCATTCGACTCTATGGAAGAAAGTCTATTTTCTATGGTGACAAACATTGTTTCCATCTCATATTTGATTTGATTGATCTCTTCCTCTAACTTTTTCTTTAAATCATCCACTTTTTTTGTTATTGTCACTCCCAAGAATTTTTTGTTATTGTCACTCCCAATAAAGCTGATGGGCCCTGATTAGAAGAAGACCAAGAAAACAAAAAAGACGTGAGTTTTAAGTCTTGGTTAGCATGATCCTTCGCATCGAAGCATTCCACCTACAGTATCGCCAAAAATGACTCAATCCCATTCGGCTTCCAAGTAGTGGCTGCTTTGTAGGCAGCGATCCTTTCCTGCAATCTCGACGCAAAATGCGATGAGAAATCTTGGCCACAGTGATCGAGTGGTTAATTTCCCATAATTTGAAAGTTCTGGTACTAATTTAATATGATTTAACATAAAAATCGGCATGAAATTTTATAGAAATTAGGGAAAACACAATTTTTTTTGTAATAATCCAAATAATTCAACAAGAATACAATGATAAATACCTACAATTCGAGAGGTAGGTGATCCCCCTCAATTCCTACAATTTGAGGGGTAGAAATCTCTCCTAAAACATAAACCTAAGACTCACAACTCAATCTCATGTATAAGCCTAACCCTAGACAAAACAAGTCTATTTATACCCGATAACAATAACAATAACAAATGGCTAAATTGCCCTTAGGCATAGAAAAGACAAACTTGCCCTTCGACTAGGCGTAGACATTACCATACTCCCAACAAGATTTCTTCTACGTTTAGAATATATGATGGGTCCTGATAGTAATTGACTTGTCTTAGTAGGAGATATTAAGGATCTAAAATCATCAACTTAGTAAATCCACCATCTTTGTCTAACATATGTAGGGTTCATATGTGAACACTAAAGTTTAAATTTTAATTTGATTTTAATAGGTATTATACCTCATTAAATGCAAATCAAGGCATGCCCTAATTAATGTAGGCAACCAAAAAAAGATTCCTAATCAATCTAGCACATGTAATGATTTAATGTGATCGCCGTAATTGAAATTTTATTGGGATTCCAATTGTTCTCATGCAACACTAAATGAAAACCAAAACAAACAACAATTAACGTGTATAACAAAGTAAGGATTCCTTAATCTACTTTACATTGGCTTCAAATCATGTGTGGACCAAGCAAGCTTTCTTGGGACATGTGTTTATTGGATCGTGGGTGAAAGTTCTTGCAATCTTCAAATAATAGGTAAAAACATGTAGTATGAAAAGGCTATTTCCCAACTAGGGTTTCCCAATCCATGCTTTGGAAGCTTCCACGATATAAACTCTAACCGTAGTGTTCTTTGTACGGTAGTAATTAGGTAGAAGATATAGTCTCTACTGATTTTTTTCGAAATACAACCATTTTGAATTCTCACTTGACGGCAAGAACAAGCTTACAACTCTTAACAAGTACCATCATCTAGAGTTCTAGTTAACGTCATCTTATGCACTAGATCTTTGTGATAGTAATCATCTTGTATGTAAAATTTTATATTACGCATGTACTTGTTGTGTGTAAGCACGCTTGACATTAAAGGAAAATGAGTGTTCCTC